TCTCTCTCTCTCTCTCATTCTTTCTCATTCTCTATCTCTCTCTTTCTCTTTCTCTTTCTCATTCCCTCTCTCTTTCTCTCTCTCTCTCTCTCTCTCTCTCTCTCTCTCTCTCTCTCTCTCTCTCTCTCTCTCACACACACACACACACACACACACACACACACACTCTCTCTCTCTCTCTCTCTCTCTCTCTCTCTCTCTCTCTCTCTCTCTCTCTCTCTCTCTCTCTCTTACTCTCTCTCTCTCTCTCTCTCTCTCTCTCTCTCTCTCTCTTTCTCTCTCTCTCTCTCTCTCTCTCTCTCTCTCTCTCTCTCTCTCTCTCTCTCTCTCTCTCTCTCACTCTTTCTCTCACGCAAATTCATATCCTTTACTAACACTCCATATATGCACTAGTGATGAATAATGAAAATTAAATATCATCTTCTAGCTTTTAGATATTTAAAAGGTAACAGCTTCACTCCAAATAATCTCATTTTATTACTAAGCTATGTACATTTAATGAGGATATATATCACTATTTTCCCGAAAATATATATTCCTAGTTATTCAAACCCGTTAAAACCAATATAAAGATTTATTGCCGTGACGTGGTCAGACATGAGGGAATGACTTGGGAAAATATTTTAAAGTCTTACGCTAAGGAAGAAAAACATAACTTTCTCAATGTGATAAACGTGAGGAGAAGAAGAACACGCGTGACTAGTGACAAAAAGTGGGAGATAGAGAGAGAGAGAGGGAGAGAGAGGGGGGGGGAGAGAGGGGGGAGGGAGGGAGGAGAGAGAGAGAGAGAGAGAGAGAGAGAGAGAGAGAGAGAGAGAGAGAGAGAGAGAGAGAGAGAGAGAGAGAGAGAGAGAGAGAGAGAGAGAGAGAGAGAGTGGAGAGAGAGAGAGGAGAGAGAGAGAGAGAGAGAGAGAGAGAGAGAGAGAGAGAGAGAGAGAGAGAGAGAGAATGAAAAAGAGAGACAGACAGGCAGACAAGCAGGCAGTCATATAGACAGACAGAGACAGAGACAGACATATAGACAGACAGTCAGATACAGAAACTACCATCGATTTAATATGGCCTTCACTCCAATATTTGTTATACGTGCCTAGAGGTATGATTACTTTATTTGTATGCTATATCCAGCCGACAAGAACAAAAGATGTATATCTCACTAAACATCAAAATAAGGCCAGCGCAGGCAATTAATTCAACAAAGGCTATTCTCTAAATAATGTTATTTGAAGTATTGTATAATTGAGATAGTAATCAATCTAGATCATATAACACATTGCATTGCAAAATTACAGCCCGATACCATTATAGTTTTCATTGGTTTATGTTATAGTGCCAAATGGTATCATGTAATAGTTTTCCTTGTTATATCTGAGAGGATAAGATACGTTCTTTTCATTTGACTGAGAGATAAAAAGATTGCATATCATGGATCGGGAAAAAAGAGAGGTGTTTTAGGCTAAATGGCTAATCTTGGTACAGGAAATAATTCTAGTATGAGCAGTAGATTGACACTTGACTACCTCTGAGAGACTAGAAATTTGCATGAAGACTTGAGGTACAGACGTCTCACTCGGTCACAACAGGCATCGGTTATTTTTTTCTCTCTCTTTCTACCTCTCTCTCTCTCTCTCTCTCTCTCTCTCTCTCTCTCTCTCTCTCTCTCTCTCTCTCTCTCTCTCTCTCTCACTCACTCATTTTCAGTCTCTCTCTCATTCTCTTTCTCATTCTATCGCTCTCGTTCTCTCTCTCTCTCTCTCTCTCTCTCTCTCTCTCTCTCTCTCTCTCTCTCTCTCTCTCTCTCTCTCTCTCTCTCTCTCTCTCTCTCTTTCCTTTTCTCTCTCTTTCATGATGAATATTCAAGGATATGACTCGTTGCGTCACAGATAAATGTTACATAAGTTAGACGGCTGTTAGTGACGGATGATTTACACGAGCGACGAGAAAGAGGATGAGTTTTTGCTCTTAAATCTCTGAAGAAAGAAAAAAAAGCCTTTGATTTTTACATGCGTCGCTACGGATGCTGTGGATCTTCCTCTCCTGGGATGTGTTTTGTTGTTTGGCAAGTTTCTGTTCCTTTTTATTCTTCTGTTTTTTTTTCTTGTACTTTTCATTTTCTTTCTTCCTCTTCCTTCACCCTCTTTTTTCTCTTTTCTTTTTCTTCCTTCTTCTTTTCTTTCTTCATATTATTATTATTATTATTATTATTATTATTATCATTATCATTCCTCTTCTTCATCTTCTACTTCTTTTCCTCCTCCACTTTTTTTTTCTACTTATATACTTATATATGTATATATATGCATATATATATGCATATATGTGTGTGCTTATGTGTGTGTGTGTGTGCAGTATATATATATATAAAATATATATATACGAATGTGTATATTTGTATATGCATGTATTGCTGTCAGTCCACTAATCTGAAATATTTGCCAAATCCCAACTTCGAATAACGTTAAATTACTGCACTATTAATCTTTGGCGAAAGCTCGTGGCTTGCAAGTAAAAAAAAAAGTGTCCCCCTTGAACGGCGCTCTCCTTTTTACACCCTCCCTGGAAAACTATTTATTATAGCCTCTGGAAAACCAACTGAAGTTACATTGTGTTATGGAGGTAATTACTGAAGTCCAAGTCACGCAATATCTCCATTTAAGGCCAATGTTAAAAAAAAAAGAGAAAAGAAAAAAAAAAAAGTTTTTTTGCGGGATACGGTCGTGAGGAACTCGTAGGAGCGACCAGAGGAGGAGCTTTTCGAGAGAACTTTCACTTGGACCGTTTTGTGGTTGGAATTCTTCGTTCTGAATTATTCCTGAGGGAAATTTCGCCAGTGCATCCTGACACATTACTTTTATTACTCATATAGTATACAAATGAAGTGTTTATAGCTACATATATCAACTTTCTATAGAGATGCTAATATACGCACGTGCCAGAGCATATCAATGTATACTTATATCTTTTCCCGGGCATGCGTAGGCGTCAGCATGAATCTAATATGTGTGTATATATGTATATATATATATATATATATATATATATATATATATATATATATATATATATATATATACACACACATTCATATATATACGTATACACACACACACACACACACACACACACACACACACACACACACACACACACACATATATATATATATATATATATATATATATATATATATATATATATGTATGTGTGTGTGTGTGTGTGTGTGTGTGTGTGTGTGTGTGTGTGTGTGTGTGTGTGTGTGTGTGTGTGTGTGTGTGTATGTGTGTGTGTGTGTGTGTGTGTGTGTGTGTGTGTGTGTGTGTGTGTGTGTGTTTGTGTATGTGTGTGTATGTGTGTGTATACGTATATATATGAATGTGTGTATATATATATACATATATATATATATATATATATATATATATATATATATATATATATATATATATACACACACATTCATATATATACGTATACACACACACACACACACACACACACACACACACACACACACACACACACACACATATATATATATATATATATATATATATATATATATATATATATATATATATATATATATATATGTATATATATATATATATATATATATATATATATAAATATATATAAATGTGTGTGTGTGTGTGTGTGTGTGTGTGTGTGTGTGTGTGTGTGTGTGTGTGTGTGTGTGTGTGTGTGTGTGTTAGTGTATGTGTAGTGATGTGTGTGTGTATATATATATATATATATATATATATATATATATATATATATATATATACACACATATTAGATTCATGCTGACACCTTCGCATGCCCGGGAAAAGATATAAGTATACATATGCGTATGTATATATATGCATATATATTTGTACATATACATACATATACAAATACATATAGATAGATAGATAGATTGATAGAGATAGAGATATGATATATGTATGCTCATATATATATATATATATATATATATATATATATATATATATATATATATATATATATATATATATATATATGTATGTATATATATATATATATATATATATATATATATATATATACATATATGTATGTATATATGTATGTATATATATACATATATATATATATATATATATATATATATATATATATATATATATATACATTCTTTGATTTTTGTCAATTTATTTCCAAAGCAAAATGATTAAATATGATATGATGTATTTTTGTATATCATTTGTTATAACTGTCTGAAAAGGCGAAATAAATTTTTCTTCGGACATAATATTTGAACAGTCGAGACAAAACTTTCCTTCAACAATGTTATGACATTAAGTGGATATTCATTCTGACTTTGTTTGCTCACTAACAAATGAAATCTGTAAAGCACTGTCAAGCTGAGCTCTAAAGACAAGTATGTACTGTGCGAAAACAAGTCATTTGCTATGTTTATTCTCAGAATTCATTTATTTTGGTATTGTTTTCTTTTCTGCTGATTATTATTTTTGTGATCATTCGCGAATAAAAGTGAGAAAAAAAACAATCATCTAATCGTTGGATTTATACGCGAAAGGAGATCGAAATCACCTATTCATCCGCAAGTATGTCCCCTCATTACCCCCTCCCCCCCTTCCTCCCTACCCCCCTCCCCTTCCCCTTCGTTTTCTTCCCCATCTCTCTTGGTTCGAGAATATTTTCCTTTGTTCGCTGTGTCTCTCGTCTTATCTCATTCTATCGCATGTCATCATGTTTCTTATCTCCCCTTTTCGCCATGGCCTGATCTGACAAGTGTAACAGACCCTGCTCGAGAGGTCAGAAGGTCATTAGTGTCATTTCGTCATGTCTTCGTCCACTCTGACAGGTCGATCTTGAAAGACGAATGAGGAGGTGACATAAAATTGGAGGAAAACTAAGAAAAGCGAATAAGGGTAAACAAGAGGAAAGTAACGAGGGAAATGAGAAAGTGATTCCAGAACAAAATTTTCACTGAAGGAGAAAAACATAAG